TTTCATCGTCCGGGCCAGGCGAGCCGGTCGGGGCCCTAGGGCCCCGGGCCCCTCGGCGCTCGTCGGCGCTCGTCGGCCTTATTGGAGGAGACAACCGATACGGCGGTTGAACTTGGACGTCCCCGTCCCGGCGGTGTAGGGTTGCCGAGGCAGTCAGCGGTTAAAATGACGTTACCGACTCGGACAGAGGTGTCCCCCCATCTCCCCCTCCCGGGCTGCCATCTTGCGTAAATCAGGCCCCGTCCCCGCGGACCTCTGGCCCAAAATCCAGTCGGCTTTTCTTTCGGCTCTCCCGGATCTCTCGTCAATAAAAAAATAAAAAAATATAAAATAAAAAAAAAGAGAAGACCAGCTAAAATCTGGAACAGGGCCCATCGATTCCCCGCCCGAAGAAACCTAGGTCCCAAAATTCGAGGCCCGAGGTGTGTCCAAGATCGAGAGGTGAGCGCTTCGGACAAAGAGACCTTCCCACCCACCGCCACCCGCTGGCCGGAAAAGAAGGCCGCAGGGACGTTCCTCGTCCGGGGGTGGGTCGGGGGAGGAAGTTAGCGGCGGGTCGGCGAGAAATACATAATGCAGGAGCCGGACGTCTCCGACACCCCCTAACTCAGTCCGCGAGGGGGTCGAGGGTTGGATCCGCGACGGCGGGGGTGGTTGGGGGGAGGAGGGGGCGCATTGATTTACGCGGGCAGGACGAGCGAGGGTGTCTCCGCCACCGGGGCGGACGTGGGGCCAACAATTCACTCGCCTCGGGTTCCTCGAGCCATCCATTACCGGGGGGTGGGTTAGGGGGGTGGCGGCGGCATTGTTGCGGTTACTTACCGTGTCCATTGAATTCTCGCGCGGACGACGAGCCCGGCCGAAGACGCTCCACCCCCTCCCCGGGGCTCTAACCGATCGCCCCCGAAATCGCTCTTCGATCTATTAGGGGCGGCATTGTGTCCCGAGTCCCCGGCCGCGAAAGGGCTAAGGCCGCCCTGGAGTGGCGTCTTCGGGACGGACTTAATTTTTCACGCCTCTCCCCCTCTCGTTCCCCCTTCGTTCCGCCTGATTTTCTCCGGGTCGATTGTCGAGGATCGAAGATCTCGTCGACGCGTCGGACTTCTCGACTGGGGCCCGAACTTTCGACTCAAGGCGGGGCAAACCACCCCGGCCCCCAAGGGGGTAAATATCTCCCACGCGACAAGTGCCGCCCCAGTTAACCTAATGAATATAGAAAGAGAGAAAGGGAGAAAGAAAAAGAGGTACCGACTTACGCGATTCCGGTGGAGTGATCGCGCGGGACGGATGGGACCGGGGGGGGACCGACTTCAGGGTGGTTTTCGATTTAACCCCCTCGACAAGACGCGCCGCGGGGGCGGAGGCGCCGCGTCCAGAGGAATGACCAATGGCCGGCGAGATATGGGGGTTGTAAAACGCGTTTAGGGTGCGCCGGGGGCGTATCCGGCGACACGTTTCGACAATCGCGGGGGGCACGGGGGGGGGGTGACTCGCCCCCGTTTGTCCGTTCCGGAGACTATTAATTACCGCGGGGACATTCAGAGGTCCTCCGTCCTCCCCCTACCCTCCCCCCCTCCCCGAGGGAACGCCGGACCCGGGGTTGTCCATCGACACCCCGTCCGGGCGGGGTACGATGAATGTAATCTCCCCCCCGCCCCACCCCCGAATCCCCCCCCTGGGTGTCAACCACCCCCGGGTTCCGGCGGAGTCCCCCGGCCGAGCCCGCAAAAACCTCCCTCCCCCGGATCCCGGGTTAATTTCGAAGTCCGTCTCGCGTTTTTCCGCCCATCCCGGTTCCCCCCCCCCCCAACACATCGGGGGAGGGGGCTGGCAGCGAATGCGAACCACTGGCCGAACGCCAAGGACCCAGTGGCGCGAGTAAACCAATAACGCGTCCGCCACGCCGGGTGCCACATTCAAATCCCGATGGGGGTGACGTCCCCCCCAGGGGGAGGGGGGAGGGCGAGCACCGCAGGACGTTCCGAATCCATCCGCGTCCGCGGCTTTCGGGGTTTGACACGCCATTAGATATACGCGATACGATCGGTCGTAGTCCACCAGAAATGGCGCCTCCCCTCCCCAATCCGTGACCCCCCCCTCCCCCCCCCAGGGGTGACAACCCCCGACGAGGGTAAGAACGAAGCCTCCGCGTGCACCAAAATGGCGGTCCGACCGACGACCCCTCCCCTCCCCCCCCCTCTACCCCTGGCATCAGCGGAAGAGGTACGCAGCGGAATGTCTCCGGGAAAACGCTGTCCCCCCCCCCGCCCCCGCCCCCGCCCATCCAGTCTCGCAGCTCACTCGTTTCTTCGCTTTTCCCTTTCTCTCTTTCGCTCTCCGGATTGCACGGAGCGTATCCAATTTGATGGCATTACAATAACGGGGGTAATGTCTGAGAATAATGAAATTTCCCCCAATCACCGCGACTCGGCCGGAATACGTTCCATCCCCCCCCCCCCGGGGGGGGACCCATTGTGTACCCCCCTCGTGAGGGGGGACCGGAATCCGCGGGCAAGGAACGCGGAAAGGGAGGGACGGGAGGAGATCGAGGAACCGGGAGGAATCAATCCCATTCCGGAGTTATTCCGCCTGCGAAAAGACTGCGGGGCAAGGCGTCGCCGGTTGGTATAGGTTAGGTACTCCGCGCGGAGTTGTCGCCTCGCGGACTAATCGCCGCGGAACGGTCGCTATGCGAATAAATCCCGGGGGATTCCCTTCGTTCTTTTTTTGTCGGGGACGTATACAAGGGTAGGTTAAAGAAGTGCCGCAGTTTTCACACGAATTTGGCGTTTAAACACTTATTTGGATATTATACTGTTTAGTTATTGGTGTTGAAACACTTATTTGGATATTATACTGTTTAGTTATTGGTGCTGAAACACTCGTTTAAATATTATACAGTTTAGTTATTGGTGTGGAAACACTTATTTAGATATTATTTGGATATTATACTGTTTAGTTATTGGTGTTGAAACACTCGTTTAAATATTATACAGTTTAGTTATTGGTGTGGAAACACTTATTTAGATATTATACAGTTTAGTTATTGGTGTGGAAACACTTATTTAGATATTATACCGTTTAGTTATTGGTGTTCAAACACATACTTAGATATTATACCGTTTAGTTATTGGTGTTTAAACAATTATTTCATTATTATACCATTTAGTTATTGGTGTTAAAACACTTATTTAAATATTATACAGTTTAGTTCGTGGTGTTGAAACAATTATTTTAACATTATACCATTTAGTTATTGGTGTTGAAACACTTATTTAGATATCATACCGTTTAGTTATTGGAGACGTTAGATTTGATATTTCGAGCCCACAAAGACGCGAGGAAGATGTTTAATTTGAATCGAAATTACAATTGATCGTACGGAAGAGGTGCTGAACTCATACTTGTATCGCCCGATCAAGAAACCCGGCAGAGTCTCGCGCCAAGTATATTAAATCGAGGGTCCACAACGTAAGAGAAGCAAGAATCAACTCGCCTAACATGAAAATTTGTAAAATGTGAACCGTCCCCGGGTGTAATTTGTTTTCCCTTCTTCTTTTAATGTATATTCACGAGGGAGGGATCGAGAGGGTCGCGTGCACCCTCGGAGACGTTTACGTCGATTACGGGAACGGTGCTCGGTCGAGTGCGGAATTTTCGCTGCGGAAACCGGCGCGTGTTAGCTCCTTATGTGTGTACGTACACATATTTCTAAAAATATATAAATCTATATATATATATAAATATATAGACACGTATACATTTCACTAACCACATCCACACATACGCACGTATACCCGGTCGATCGACGCGGAGCAATTCTCGGGCTCTAGTCGGCGCGTAATGGAATATTACACGCGCCATTAAAGAAACGTTAATCTCGGCCACAACAAGTTCAGGAGGCGCCTCCACCCCCAGATGCTCAAACGTGGCGGGATTACGGGACGAGCTTTGATCCTCCTACCCCCGGGCGTGTAATTTGTTAAAACGCGGATTCCCTGGTGGGCATCCCTTAAGGGGTGGGGGAAGGGGGGGAATTACCCCACGGAGGGCGTTCGCGCGATCGCGGCCTTCCTGCAAAGGGTTAAGCGAGTTTCCTTTTTTCCTCGTTTCCCTCCTTTTCCCGTTTTTTCCTCTCGGGGGTGAGTTTCCCCCGGGCGTCTTGCCCCCTTGTTCCCCCTCCTCCCCCTCCTCCCCCACCAAGTCTTCGGGCACCTCGAGGCCATTAATGGAGGCGCCAGAGGGGCACAGAGGGGAGGAAGAGAGGAAGAGAGCGAGAGAGAAAGATCGGGGGGGAGTTTAGCAACCCTCTTTCGCTTTTTACCCTAAGCAAGTCGAGAGCCCCTTAGCCACCGTTTATTGGACGCATGCAAATATCCATGGCAACGGTCCGCGCCCGAGCGAGACCGGCCACCCCCTTGCGACCAACCCCTAAACTTCCCGTGGGGGCGGGGGGAGGTAAGGGCGCGGGGGAGACGCCGCCTTTGTGACGCGTCACTGTTCCCTCTCTTCCTCCTTCCCTCCTACGGAGAAATTTCCTCCTTGCGTCGGAAAGAAGTGGCTGGGGGGAGGGCATAACCCCCCCCCTCCTCCTCCTCCTCCTCCTCCTCGTCGTCGTCGTCGNGCAGTTAATTCACATTGTAGCCATCTGTATATATATATATAGATACGCGGATGGTCATACAGTTAATTCGCATTGTGGCCATCCGTATGCATATAGATACGGGAGCGGTTATACGCGTATTGGAAATAGAGGCATGTACTGAAGTTTAAAGGTCGTTGAGGGAACAAATGCATTTAGTTGAGAAAATAATAATTTCCGATTTTTTAGGATCTTGGAGCCCTCAAATGTCGGCTGTCTTTTAGGGGAAGGTTCGATCACAAAGAGCTGTTTCAATTAATTGTAGAAATAAAAACGTAAAAATTGTGACAATTGACCTCGGTCTCCTCTATATCATTTTTCTAAGCCCGAGCAGGTGTCAGCGATAAGGGGCGCTTATTCATACTCGTAGATATACGACGCAGAGATTGGTACTCACGCTGGGTATATTGTCGTTGGTGCATACGCCCTCCTGGAGCAGGCGGTCCCGGATCTCCCAGGCGAAGATCGAGGGGCACTCGCTCTTGTAGAGGGAGATCTTGCTGACGACCTCGGCCGTGGCCACGCGGGGCTTGCTCCCCCCGATGGCCCGCGGCCGGATCGACCCCGTCTCGTAGTACCTGCAACGGTAAGAACGTTTTCGGTACAATTCAGTGGGGGGGTGCACCTCCCTCCGCGGGAGGTTACTCCAGAAAAGAAACAACTGCAACCCCAAGTAGAACCTAACCTTGGCCACAACATGGCGGAATATTGGTCCATTATGTGAATGTCGGCCAATATGTAGCTAATAATTTGCAAATCTTGAAATTCATTTCTATTTTAACCCTTTGGACACGGAGCCATTTCGACATATGGGCGAAATTCGTCTGACCGTGCAGGCAATATTGGACTAAACGTTGGGCGCCTTTAGGCGTTCTTAGGACCCAAAGGGTTAAGGTGAAGTGAAACATCCTTCAAATCAGTCGATTCGAATACAACACTTTTTTTTAAGGGGATCAGACCAAACTGTTCGAAACTTTGACACACCACTCCTGATCATCTAAAAATTGTCTACACATTAAATATTTGGGTTTTTCAAAACAATTTTTTCAAAGTCCAGATCAGAACCAAAATGGCGTCGAGTTCTCATATTTCGATCGATATACGATTATCGAAGGCTCTGATATGAGAATCGAAAGGGTCAGGACAATTTTACGACAATTTAGAACACTCTGGTAATCGATAAACTCGCATTTCAACGGGATAAAGGTAAAAAAAGTGTTGTATGCGCTTCTTTGCTAAAACGATGGGAATACGAGGTCTCGGAGTGAAAATTTAATTGACCTGGATATCACAGATGGCGCAAGGTGTTCCTCTGCAGTCAATTAGGGCTTTAGAAACCATGAATCAAGAGGATTTCTGGAGTTTACCTTCGATTCCTTTATAATTATTGTACGAAAACGACAGGTGGAATATGCCATTTGGTACAATACCCAATATAATTCGACCCAGCTGTCAATATAAAAACCAACGTCGCCAGCGTAGGCATTTAGAAAAATCTTCTTTATCGACGTTGATCAAGTTCCTCGACGTGTTTCACTTCACCTTAAAAAAGGAGAGGGAGGTTCTTCGCAATCGGCGTAATGCGTGGAGATTGAGTGCGCGATCGTGCGGAGGAATTCTCAGGGGAGGACGAGGGGGTACGAGAATACAGGGGGAGGGGCGCGTTCCACGCATTCTTGCGGCGGGTCTCCGCCTCTCGCGATCTCTCTCGCTCGGCGGATTCTTCGCGCTGACCTGCCCCACCGTCTCGCGCGTCCACTCGGACCTCTCTCTCGCCCCCGCGCCGGCTCGCCTGCGACCCTCTCTCTCGCACTCCCGGGGAGGTATCCCGCGCTCATTATTTGCATTTTCCGCCGTTTTCCTTTCCGATTCCTTTATTAATAAAAATAAACCAAGTTTGTTCAATTTAAGGTGAAATGAAACCCCTCTGAAATTAGTGGAAGCGAATACAACACTTTTTTTCAAGGGTATTAGACAAAATTGTCCGAAACTTTGACACATGACTTGTAACCACCTAAGAATTGTCCTGACACATTCAAGATTTTGATTTTGGGGAAAAACATTTTAACTTTGCCCAGACCAGAACCAAAATGGCGTCGAGCTTTCATATTTCAATCAATATACAATTATCGAAGGCTCCGATATGAGAAACGAAAGGATCAGGACAATTTTACGACAATTTAGAACACTCTGGTAGTCGATAAATTCGCATTTCAACGGGATAAAGGCAAAAAAAGGGTTTTATGCGCTTCTATGCTAAAACGATGGGAATACGAGGTCTCGGAGGGAAAATTTAATTCACCTGGAAATCACAGATGGCGCAGGGGGTCCCTCCGCAGTCAATTAGGGCCCCAGAAAGCATGAATCCAGAGGACTTCTGGAGTTTTACTTCGATTTCTTTATAATTATTGTACAAAAACGATAGGTGGAGTATGCCATTCAATCCAATGCCCGATATAATTCAACCCAGCTGTCGATATGAAAACAAACGTCGGCAACGTAAGTATTAAGAAAAATCTTCTGTATCAACGTCGATCAAGTTCCTCGACGTGTTTCACTTTACCTTAATGTGATGTGAAAGTGGCGTCGAAGCGGTTTCATTTATAAAACTTTTCTCTCAATTCGGTTAACCGAATAGGTTGAAACTTTACAACGTGAATAGGGAGACTATAAGGAAGGTCCTGAAACTCATGAATTTTCAATTCTTTTCAAATTTGTTTATAGGTATTTCAAAAATAGTTTAGAAAAAATGAAGTTTCGCGAGTTTCAGGACCTACCTTAGGGTCTCCATATTCACGTTTTAGAGTTTGAAACGATTTGAGACGCCCAGTTTGTAGAAATGTTTTATGAACGATTGAGCTTTCGGATGCCGCTTTCACATCCCCTTAAAAAGATATAAAATTTCTGTGCAAGATGGGCCTTTTTAGTTTCTAAAATTCCCTGATTCAAAGGGGTAAAACAAATGTTCACGATTTCTTGCCCCCGTCGCGATCGCCGGGAGAATCGTTAGGTTAGGTTTATACGGGATGCAAGTAAAAAGAGGGCGAGGGGGAGGGTACTCCCAGTACTTCAACCAACCTGCCGAGGATCTTGGAGACGCAGCCGTTGCTCACTTGGAGTATCCTGGAGATGTCGCAGGGTCGGGCCCCGGAGTGGGCCAGCTCGACGATCTTCTGCCTGGTCGAGTCCGGGAGCGGCCTGCCCCCCACGAAGACGCCCCCCAGCTGATTGACTCCGCTGTGCCCTGGAAACAAATCATCCAGGCGAATCAGCTGATGCGAAATCGGCGCTCTTCCTAAATCTAGATGCGACTCCTAATGATCGTATATGAAAATGAACACGTTGGTGGTAATGTCACTCGGGTGGCATGGGTACTTAGGGGGATGTGAAAGTGGCATCTTAGGGGTCGATCGTTTATAAAACTTTTCTCCGAATTGGGTGTAGCAATTTCTTTGAAATTGTATCACTGTACAAGGAGATCCTAAGGTAGGTCCTGAAACTCGCTAAATTTCATTTCTTATTAAAATTTTTGAAAATAGGTACAAACAAATGATCTTAAAATTGAAGTTTCATGGGTTTCAAGACCTTCCTTGTAGCCTTCATATTCACATCAAGTTTGAGACGAATCGGTATACCCACTTCGGAAGAAAGTTTCATAAACGATACCTCTCCCACATTTGTTGTAAATTTTCCCACATGTATAAGGGAAACCTCAAGGTAGGTCTTGAAACTCGCAAAATTTCATGTTATTAAAATTGTTGAAAATAGGTGCAAACGAATGATCTTAAAATTGAAATTTCAGGGGTTTCAGGACCTTCCTCGTATCCTCCATATTCGCATCGTTAAGTTTGAGAAGAATCGGTACACCCAGTTCGGAGGTAAGTTTCATAAACGATACCTTTTCCAAATATTGCCACATGTATAGGGAGACCCTAAGGTAGGTCGTGAAACTCGCGAAATTTAATTTCTGATTAAAAATGTTGAATATAGGGACAAACAAATGATCTTAAAATTGAAGTTTCATGGTTTTCAGGACCTTCCTCGTAGCCTCCAGATTCACATCAAGTTTGAGACGAATCGGTACACCCACTTCGGAAGAAAGTTTCATAAACGATACCTCTCCCACATTTGTTGTAAATTTTCCCACATGTATAAGGGAAACCTCAAGGTAGGTCTTGAAACTCGCAAAATTTCATGTTATTAAAATTGTTGAAAATAGGTGCAAACGAATGATCTTAAAATTGAAATTTCAGGGGTTTCAGGACCTTCCTCGTATCCTCCATATTCGCATCGTTAAGTTTGAGAAGAATCGGTACACCCAGTTCGGAGGAAAGTTTCATAAACGATACCTTTTCCAAATTTTGCCACATGTATAAGGAGACCCTAAGATAGGTCCTGAACTCGCGAAATTTCATTTCTTATTAAAATTGCCGAAAATAAATACAAACACAAATGATCTTAAAATTGAAGTTTCATGGGTTTCAGGACCTTCCTCGCATCCTTCATATTCACATCAAGTTTGAGACGAATCGGTACATTCAGTTCGGAGGAAAGTTTCATAAACGATGCCTCTTTGACGCCCCTTTCCCATCACTTTAGGGGCAAACAGAAATATTAAAAATGAGAAAAGCCGCGAAATGCGAGAAGGTACGAAAGGCGGAGGCTAGGAGGAAAGGAATCGGCGAAACCGCTCGAGGAGGTCCTCGAGGAGTGGCACCCCTGAGTCGGGGGGTTCGCCCCCCGTAAATAATTCATCGACTCGCCCGGAAAGAGCGGCTCGAGAAGGGGATCTCCGGGGTGTCTCCATCCATTTTTTTTTCCTCCCTTTCGCCGTTCGATCGGCCGCCACCTCGCGAGGACAATGCCGGCTCTTCGGTCGTGCATCATCGTCGGGGGGCTCATTCTTCCGGGCGAAGGGTCCTGGGGGAAGGACTCGCGGGCCCGGTTCCCGAAGGATGTCGGGGTTGGTTCCGCCGTAGATAACTCCTCGGCCTCGTTGTCGCGGTGACAAGTCGGGGCCCTTTTTCGGGGCCCTTTTCCCTTTGCCCCGCCCTTGTCGACCTGGCTTTTCCCCTCTCGAGGGATGGGAGGAGTCGCCCTCTCGCAGATGCCGCGATGGACCGCGACACTCGCCTCGTGTCTCTTTTCGCGCCCTCTGACCTCTTCTCCGATTTTCCCCCCTGCCATCTCGAAACCACCCGCGCGGAAAAAGAATTAACAGCCCCCTCGTACCACGGAAGAATTTACAAATATCCTTTTGGAACCATTGCTAAATATCTCAAGCGACAGATTTCTTATGGTGTCTCTTAGATTTCATTTCAAGGTATCTAAAACATTTGTTGAAAATTTCAATGACTGATGAGATAAGTTTCATGAACGATTGATTCCTCCGATGTCACTTTCACATCCCCTTTAAGGTGAAGTGAAACCCCCCTCAAATCAGTCGATTCTAATACAACATTTTTTTTTAAGGGTATTAGACCACCCTGTCCGAAATTTTGACACATCAGTCGTGATCATCTAAGAATTGTCCTGACACATTCAAAATTTGGATTTTTGGAAACAATTTTTTAACTTTGCCCAGACCAGAACCAAAGCGGCGTCAAGCTCTCATATTTCGATCGATATACAATTATCCAAGGCTCTGGTATGAGTAACGAAAGGGTCAGGACAATTTTACGACAATTTAGAACACTCTGGTTTTCGATAAACTCGCATTTGAACGGGATAAAGCCAAAAAGAGTGTTGTATACGCTTCTATGCTAAAATGATGAGAATATGAGGCCTCGGAGGGAAAATTTAATTGACCTGGAAATCACAGATAGCGCAGGAGGTCGTTATACAGTCAATTAGGGCCTCACCTTAAGGTGAAGTGAAACACCCCTCAAATTAGTCGATTCGAATACAAGACTTTTTTTCAAGGGTATAAGACCAAACTGTCCGAAACTTTGACACATGACTTGTAATCACCTAAGAATTGTCCTGACACATTCAAGATTTTGATTTTGGGGAAACACATTTTAACTTTGCCCAGACCAGAACCAAAACGACGTCGAGCTCTTATATTTCGATCGATATACAATTATCGAAGGCTCTGATATGAGAAATGAAAGGGTCAGCACAATTTAATGACAATTTAGAACACTCTGGTAATCGATAAACTCGCATTTGAACGGGATAAACGCAAAAAAAGTGTTGTATGCGCTTCTATGCTAAAACGATGGGAATACGAGGTCTCGGAGTGAAAATTTAATTCACCTGGAAATCACAGATGGCGCAGGGGGTCTCTCTGCAGTCAATTAGGGCCTCAGAAACCATGAATCCAGAGGATTTCTGGAGTTTAACTTCGATTCCTTTATAATTATTGTACGAAAACGACAGGTAGAGTATATAATTCGGTACAATACCCAATATAATTCGACCCAGCTGTCAATAAAAAAACGACCGTCGGCAACGTATGTATTTAGAAAAATCATCTTTATCGACGTCGATCAAGTTCCTCGGCGTATTTCACTTCACCTTAAGGCGATGTGAAAGTGGCGTCGAAGAGGTCTTGTTTATAAAACTTTTCTCCCAATTCGATTTACCGAATAGTTTGAAACTTTACAACGTGAATAGGGAGACTATAAGGAAGGTCCTGAAACTCATGAAATATAAATTCTTTTCAAATTTGTTTATAGGTATTTCTCAAAATAGTTTATAAAAAATGAAATTTCCCGAGTTTCAGGACCTACCTTAGGGTCTCCATATTCACGTTTTAAAGTATGAAACGATTTGAGACACCCAGTTCTATGAAAAGTTTTATGAACGATTGAGCTTTCAGATGCCCCTTTCACATCCCCTTAAAGCGATGTGTAAGTGGCGTCGAAGAGGTTTCGTTTATTAAAAACTTTTCTCCCACCTCGATTTACCGAATAATGTTAAACTTTACGACGTGATTAGGGAGACTATAAGGAAGGTCCTGAAGCTCATGAAATTTCAATTCTTTTCATATTTGTTTATAGGTATTTTAAAAATAGTTTATAAAAAATGAAATTTCCCGAGTTTCAGGACCTACCTTAGGGTCTCCATATTCGCGTTTTAAAGTATGAAACGATTTGAGACACCCAGTTCTATGAAAAGTTTTATGAACGATTGAGCTTTCGGATGCCACTTTCACATCCCCTTAAATGTCCATTTTCGGGTCAACATTGCGTACCAAAGGTGCCTAGGAAAACGTATATAATCACCTTCGACGGTGCACGAATTCCAGGTGCACCCTCAGGACGCGCATCCCGTAAATCATCGGCGACGAATCTGCCGCGCATTGTCGCGGGACTCTCCCTCGGGACTCGAAAGTCGGACACGCCCGATATCGGGATCTATCCCTCGGGACGCGTCCAGAGGGTGCGGCGCCCCGCCCCCGCAAAGGATCTCGCGAAGCTGGACCACGGGATCCCTCTCACCAGAGGATCTCCCATGATCCCGGGATCCCCGGGATCCCCGGGATCCCCGGGACCGGGAGTGGCCCGAATTCTCCCGAATTGTCCCGCTGAATGGCCGACTTTCCGCGAAAGGGACTCCGGCTCCTTTGGGCTCCGAGGTCCTTCGGAGTCCTCGAGAGGGTCCTCTCGAGTCCGTCAAGCCTTCGGCCTCGCATTCCCACGGGCAATCCTCAAAGCGAAACCCGAGAGAGAAAAAAAACGAGAAAAATCAGGAAACCCCATTCCTCCTCCCCCTCCATCCTTCACCATTTTTTGGACTCCAGATTCCCATTCTTAAGGCGATATGAAAGAGTCAGCCTATATATATCTGAGAAGACAAATTGTTGGGGAAAGTATTCTCCGAATTCGATGTATCGATCGAAATTAACAAATTTTGTTAAAAAATTCAAAGACTCCAGATTCCCATTCTTAAGGCGATATGAAAGAGTCAGCCTATATATACATCTGAGAAGTCAAAAACGTTGGGGAAAGTATTCCTCGAATTGGATATAGCGATCGAAATTAACAAATTTTGTTAAAAAATTCAAAGACTCCAAATTCCCATTCTTAAGGCGATATGAAAGAGTCAGCCTATATGTACATCTAAGAAGTCAAATCGTTGGGGAAAGTATTCCCCGAATTGGATGTATCGATCGAAATTAACAAATTTTGTTTAAAAATCCAAATTTTCAAAGTGTCAGAATAATTCCTAGGTGCTCATGAGTAATGTGTCAAAGTTTCGATACTCGTGAAATGACATTTGTCGACAAAGATTTTTTAT